TTTACTGTATTTTTGGATGAGAATTCTAGGTAATAAATTTGATCTGATGAATCAATCTCTCTTTTGAAAACAAAGAGCCTTTAACTGTTTACTCGACAGACTGCAGGGATTTGGGGAGAGTCCTCGCTGCTTATTGGGTAGATAATGCAGATTGCAGATGATGTGCAGATGATGTGCATTTTGATGAATATTTTCCCACTAGACTGCAACTGTTTCTATCTATTAATTTAGATCTAATGGGAAAAGTGTGTTCCTGGGTAGTTTTAGGCTAGGACTTATAAAACGGTTAACACATCGTTGATATGGTTTTGTGTCTGCCTGAAATCTATTGCTGAAATGAACTTTTAGGTGATGGTAACACCTGAGATTCCAATATTCTGTCTATTCCCAAAGAAATCACAACCTGAGCAAAAACCCTGGCATCCAAACCTGGGTGCCTCGCTTCTGGCTGACAAGGGAGAGAATATTGACACTTATTGATCTTTAGGACTGGGTTTTATCAGAGTTTCCGAATGGGACGATGGTGACTGTGAGGCTTTTGGTGCTGCTGATGTATCTCAAAAGCCGTGGTTGTTCCACAGGCTGTTGCAAGGGTGGTGAGTGCAGGTGGGGCCATCGGTGTTGCAGGCTTCAAAATGCTCCTATGAATCATAATTTATATATATGTACATGTTGTGAGTGTGTGTGTGTGTGTGTATATATATGTATTTCATGCAAAGCTACAGCGGAGTGTCCTGACGAGTATGACGAGCTAAGTGTCCAACAAAATAAAAACTGAGTGAATTAAAAGCCCCAGCCCAAGTTCCAGATATTTGAGCTGCTGGGAGCTGGTGCAGTTCCACCCCGTGCAGGGAAGTGCTGCAGATTTGAACCAGATGACGCTCTGGCTCTCAGGGCAGAGGCCTGGAATTTTGACTTGTTTTAGAGTAATGTCTTTAACTGATTTCTTAGGTGCAGATTTTGCAAATTTGGCTAATTTTGCTGTTTTGAACTTCTTTCTAACGTGCGAATGCACATGTGTATAGGACTGTATGGACACACCATTTGTTTCTTCTTTCCTGGGGTTGTCTTTTGTCTTTATCGCTAAGTAAAGATGTTCAAAAGGATTGTAAGAATGTCATGAGCTTCTCCCTCTGGAATAAAATTGTAATAAAGTTGCGTTACTTTAATGGGAATATACATTTAAAACACCTTTTGGGGGAAACACAAGCCAATATCCCAGCAAGAAGAAAATAAAGAGATAAAGCCAGCGCCTGCCTGCCCGAGAAACTTCTGCTTTGCTTTATCCCGGAGTGATAGGGTGGCTGAGATAGTCTTTGGAAATTACAACTGCCATTGAGAGGGAAGCCAAGCCATGCTGTATTTCAGAAAATGAAAATGCTGTAGCTTTGGCGGAGGGAGGGGCCAGGTCCCCAGGGCATCTGTTTCCCATCAGTGTCCCACCATGCTTGCAGCCTGGCTTGGCACTCTAACATTTAACCTTCCCAGCAGGAGGTGGACCATAGGGCAACAAGGCTGCGGAATAATGAAACAAGAGTGTAGTGTGGTGTACAAAGCCTTTGTGAGAGCAGAAGTTGAGACATGAAACACTCAGGGTGGGGAGATGTGAAAGTTCCAGATTTTTCTCCAAAGCCCCCAACAGCCTGTCGCAGAGGCAGGAGCGCGGCGTCTCCCAGCAGGCAAAGCCAAGGCCTTTCCTCATCTATCCATGCCTTTTTGCCCGCTGCTTTCAACTATTATAAAGATACAATTACCTTGGGAGATTGTGGCAGTTCAGTTGATTAGCACGGTGAATTAAAAGAATGAGTCACAAATGACATGTCCAGCTCTTCTCTACTAGTCCTTTGTATTCCCAGTGTACCTCACCCCTGTTGTAAGAAGGTCAAAAATTAGAGAGAGATAACAATTTTCAAGCAGCTAGCACTTAGGAGCAGAATTAACAATCATTCTGTATGTAATTGCCAGTTAATAGTAAATTGCCTTCTAGACTGTAAAATGCAATATAAACTGGTGGGCACCTAAAATTAAATTAATGAGGTATTTGCTGCATTTAAAAGTGAATAGTGCAAATTAATAACTGGGTACAATAGTTGTTTTAATACATATTGAGCGGTGCAGCATTTGCTTGTTTAATAATAATTTTAAAACTGCTACCTGAAAAATTTGCTGTCTGTGGGTAAATCGAGCGGTTGGTGCAGGTTGTAGCCATAATTTTGCTGGTAAAGTCTTCCAGGTTCCTAAATTAAATATCAGAGATTATTTTTTAATTAGAATATAAGCACTGCAGCCTTATTTGATTATGGCAAATTGTGATTTGTATGCTTCGAAATGAAATTATGTTACAGATAAAATTGCACCTTTACACACATATTTTAAGCTGTGCAGATCCTGTTGGTTTGCTCTCAGCTGAGCGGCAGGACTGTGTTTACAGTGTGTTTGTGCCACTGTTTTCTCTAAGTCTATGTTTTGCATAATGATTCCCTGGCAAATAAAGGATGCACAGTCTGACCTAGAGTACATCAAAATAGTTTCAAAGAATGATTTGTGGCGCTTGGAACCTCTCACGGTGGCTGCTTCCACCCTGAGGTTTTTGTTGCACATCCCCTTTTCGGCAGCTCTTTTTGGCTCAGTGGAGGAAATGCCCCAAATTGTCAGGAGACAGGAGACCCTTTGCAGTGGACTGGACCTGGTTGCTGCACGAGGTGTTGGCACTCGACTGCCAACATGTCCCCAGCAGAGGCGGGGAATGCGTAAATGTTGAATACATGGACCCATTCCCAGGCCTGCAATGCATTTGCTGGACGTGAACATAAGAATGATTCTTTTGCACAAAGACTTGCATTCAATTTTAAGCTTATGAAACCATTACTCAAGCAGCAATCGCTCAGGGTTTGTGTTCCTCCTGATGGAGTATTTATGGCGGGGAGGACGGCCGGGCTGGCACGGCACCAAGGCGGGGAAGCCCTCCTTTACTCACCACATTGTCCAGATTTCTCGGTTTGACTCGTTTTCCCCGTCGGTGTGGAGACCTCAGTGTTGGCTGCTTTCCTCGGCTCACCCCCACGCCACTTCCCAGTCTGAAAGATCTCGTGCTCCTCAAGTATTTTGGAGATCTTTTGTGTGCATTCAAATGCGATTCTGTCAATGGCGCTGTTACACTGTTTAGAGTCAATAGCTCCCTTCCATCACAGCCAACACAAACTAGCTGTCTCATAGGTCAGTGCTCTTTAAACAAATTACTTGTATCCACAGAGCAAATGATTGTTAATTGCCTCCCACAAATCATACTATTTTTACTATGCTAAACTCCACGCGAACGCCTTAGTTAAATTTAAATCACCTGATTATTTCTTGTACATATTCAATTATTGTTCTGAAGGACAAAATCTGGTGACTTTGCGAAACGAAGGCTAAAAATATATAGAAAGGATCCATGGTTTTATTGGAAAACCTTAAAAAAAAAAAGAAAAGAAAAGCACAGTTACATTCATTTTAATGAAATCCTCAGCATTTCTAATTCATATATATTGCATTCCTTTTTTTTTCTTTTAAGTGCTGTTGTCCTGAAGCAACTTACAGTCACTGTTATTACAGTATTGGTTATTTATTGATCAGACCTTGTGTCAGTATCAGTTGTTAGCAAGCTGAAAAAAATCAAGCTCGAACAAATATTCTTGCCCTTTCTTCAGTCTGGGTCTGCCTAAGTCAGTCAAAGTTTAGTGTTCAAGAGTCAGACCCAGAAAGTGTCTGTTAATGTGTTAAACTGCTTTATTGGCCTGGAGTAAAACATATTTTTCTGAAGACAATAAGTCAGAGGGGAAGGGATTCTGGTGAACTGTCTTTTTGTATAAAGGTTTTTCAGCATGACATACATTTCTAATTAATAGGGCAGTGCTAAACATACAGAAATGATTTAGTAGCATCAAGTCAATAGTGTGTTGGATAATGTATATTATATAATAGCTCTTTTTTAAACAGTAGCAATTCCAGGTTTATCAGGGTCATTGTTGTCCCCTTTATTTTCTGTCTCAAAGGAGGCCAGAAGAATGAGACATACCATTTGTGCTATTGCACAAGTAGACTATTTGTCCTAATCAGTGACACCCATTTACTAGAATTGCTTAAAATGAACTATACCTCATACAGAAATCGCACATTTAGAGTGTTCCATTCATCATCGGAAAATTGAGGGCCAGTAAACTTTTCTGTTCCTCCAGCGGGATCATAGACATGCATCAAAATGTTAAAAAATGATTGGTGAGAGAGAACTGTCACCCATT